GCCCAACAGCAGTCAGCACGGCCAGTTCAGCCAGTGGCCGCGGCCAGCTAGGCAGCGCCTGTGCGCGCAGCCTCGGCAGGCGAGCTGGCCGAGCCAGCGGCCAACCGCCAGGCTCAGCAGACCAACTGTAGTGCCCCGTTCGATTTATAGAATTTCTCGGATTATTCTATTTATCGAATCTTAATTTTGAGATTATATATTATATTATTATGTGGATAATATAGTTATACAACTCGTTCGATTTTATTGAACCAGTTAATTAATTAATTCCGATTTGTTTATTTTTTTTAGAAATGGATTTTATAAGTTGGGATTAATTATTCCAAGTGAATGAATTAACCGAAATCAAGAATATTAGATATAGTCCAAGTCGAGTCGTGTTTATTAACCGCGCCAATAATTTTTTTTCGTGTCTAGCGCTATTTCATTTCACGAGCCAATGGTTCAATTTACCGTCATGTTCTATCCGGTCCAATGACATGCGATTTTTCTAGGTGGTTCAAGAGTCATTTGAACTTAAGTGAGTCTTGAGATGGTTAAGTAAAGACAACTATATTTGGGTTTAAGTGCATGTGCTATAGGAATATTTTATTAGATGGTGTAAGAGTTTGTATTATCTTAGCTAAAGTGGACCAAGACCATGTTACTTATTCATGTGTTTCTCTCAACAAGAGCCTATGCCCCGCTGCCATTTGAATTATGTCATGCAAATTGTTCAAGTCAACTCAACATCTTGTGCATGAAGAAGGATTTCATGTGATAGGTTAATATTTTATTAATCATGTGTAAGGTGTTTTGTCTTACCTTACTAAGACAAAATCTTGTTTCCCTATTCCATGTGACTTCAGTTACAATTGTTTTTGGTCCAACTATTACTCCCATATTGTATTGAAATTGATTCCAAGACTACACAACATCACATGTGTATGAAGAAAGTTAATGACACAATAGTTTGTCCATTTCTTGCATTCGTCCAATAGCACTATTAATAAGTCTCAGTGTCAACTGATTTTAGTACTAGACATTCGTAGAAACTTGAGCAATCACTTTGAGAAAGAATAAGAGAATCGAGAAGAAGTTAGCATAAGGAAGGGAGCAAGTTCAATAGGACATCACCGAGCTAGTCCCATCTTAATCTCCCTCTTCCATTAGCTAGTGAGTCCCGAAGAATGGTAACCGACCGAACCCTCTTTGTTATATTGTATTCTTATTTGATATCATAGAATTATTCGTGGGTTATATATATTAATTCGATGTTAATATCTAATCGACAATTTATTCGTGAAGTTTGAATATTTTCGATTTAATGGTCGTGGGAATATATATATCGTGGAATAAGAACTCTCGTAATCATGTCGATTTATTTCTAAGTCGAGCCTTGGTCATTGGGTTATTGCTGAGGTCATAACCGAGAAAAATCGAGTCTCAAGTCGTGTTCCGAGTCGATTTAAAATAGTTTAAAATGAATTTGAAAATACTATTTTCAAAACATGCGGCTGATTGTTGTTCGAGGCTATTTTTGACCCCTGAATCTGGATCGCATGTGTTTGACGTCTTCTGATAAAATATAGTTCAACTTCTAAGGTTTCATAACGAGCAGGAATCGAGGGATTATCATTTTTGCACTGAAAATAATAGCCGAAATACGGCGAGTGTGCGTCGAGTTTTGGTTTCTCTTGCTGCAGCAGGTCTTCTGTTTTCGTCACTATTTTTAAGTGACGGGATCATGTTATTTTTCTATTATGTGTTCATGAAATTTGTAGTTCTATGAGTTATCTTTCAATAGGAAAAAGAATCACGTATTTATCAATTTTATTTTGAGAGTGACGTCGAAAATACGAAAACCGCACAGTCTGTTTTTAAAATTCTAATAGCAGCAGTAGTGTCTGTTGTGTTTGCTGTTTTTGACCTATTTCCAAGTACCTGGGAAGATCGGTGTCTTCTTATGAATTGTAGATCAATCTCTTAGGTTCAAAATGGTTTTTGAATCACTTGAAAATAATTTTTGTGTAAAAAGATACGTTCGGATCTCTAAAGTTGTACACCCAGTTTTCTTTTTCAAAAATCTGCAGCATGATTGTTGTGAGAAGGTTGCCCTTTAAAAGCCTCGTCGGAAACTAAGGTCAAATAAAAGTTTAGTTATGTATCTTGGTAACGTTTTGGAAGAAGAATATCTTTGTTTCGAGCTTTCTATCAAAAATTATATATAAAATAAAATCGTTGCGCATAATAAGTTACTATTTTCCGATAAACTTAATTTTACATTTTTCGTGTCTGTTTTTGAGACCGTTCGATACGTTGTCAAGTCGAAACTAATTTTTAACTTCCTGATCATTGTATATATATATATATATATATATATATATATATATATATATATAATAAGAAAAAAAATTCCACGAGCCACTTAGTCGATGATTTCGACTAAGTATGGGTTATCGATGAATTTTGATTAAGTAAGAATTTTTGGTGAACTTCTGGAATATCGAGATAAGTATTTTGAGATATTATCTTGATATAATTGTAGGTTCCTGAGGAATAGAGCCTCATATACCTACCTAGCTTTGCATATGCTATTGCTTGTTTCGTCAAAACAGGTGGGTTTACTTATAAAATTTGCTATGTCGTATGTATTATAATTAATGTTGGATTGGTATGATCTAAGTATGCATGTAAACAATGTAGCCTATCGGCGTGAGCCGACTCGGCCGTCGGTACGGTTGTTCCCGTCGATGTAATACGGTTACCCTTGCGAGGTAAGTCCCTTAAGACCTAATGAAAGGCCGTGTCCGTAGCGTGGCACGTACCCCCACCATTAGGGTAATGAATCCCCTTTCTGTGGCTAATGAAAGATGTGTACACAGGGGTAATATATTGTGATATGATATGGGGATGTAACAGGTAATTGATTTATGTTCATACTGCGACCATGCCTTCTTTACATTATTCATTATTGTGCTATACGTGCATAGTGGTGAGCACCTCATTTTCATCTTGTGCTCATCCCCACCTGCTCTTCACGGATGCAGGTTAAGCAGGTGCCGGGTGACGAGGAAAGACGAGCGGGTCGATCTATTGATTATGCCTATATATTTCGCTTCCGTTAGAATAAATGAGGTCTTGTTGAACCTTTTATGTTGAGGCTTGTGAAAATTTTATTAAAAACTTATGACTTGTTTTGATTTTGGGAATACTTGATAGACCCTTGTTTATGATGTTTGGTTTTTATGAGGTTTGAATATTTCATGTTGAGTATTTTGTCATGTGATATGATTTGGGCTAATGAAAAACTTGTGAAAACCGGGTAATGAATCCCTGTGGGCCCAGATAAGACTTGGGTTACCGGGTAATGAATCCCCGTGGGCCCAGATAAGACTTGCGTTATGAAAAATGTTTAACACCCGTTAGATTTCAAAAATGATCTCGAAAAATTATTTACTGATTTTTGGAATGTCCGGAATTTCTTTAAAATCAAAATAGGGTGTTACAGTTTGGTATCAGAGCCAGTCTACATTTCTGTAAACTGGTTTATATGTGATTATGTGATTTTAACCTTGTATTGACCACTCGTCTCCGTCATGCCGCACTGCTTAAGGTATGTTTTTATTTAAGTATTAATGAAAATGCTTATGAGTAAATTGTGAATTTGTACACATGTAACAATGAAATTATTTGTGTAGAGTACTGTTATTTTTGGGGCTTAGGATCTTTCCACCTTCATTTAATCAAACTCTAGTGTTTAAAGGCGAACTCTAGACTTCTGGAATCATGATTTTCTTGTTGTTTTGTGCTAAACATTGTTCGGCTTATTCAATGTAGAGCTATGAATACCCGCAACAATCGTAAACGTCAGCTATCTCTGTCTTCTTCCCCGCCTCCTCGTTATCACCAGGCCCCTCCGGCCATGGACTTGACCCAGCTCATAGTCCAGTTTCAGAGAATGAATACACCGACTTTCGCGGGGACTGAGAACCCCACTGCAGTACTGGAATGGATTAAAGACCTGGATAAGATTTTCGCTGTACTTCCTCTCCCGGACCGACAGCGTGTATCACTCGCAGCTTATCAGATAAAGGAGGACGCTTCTGACTGGTGGATTGACCACTGGGCTCGGAAGCCAGAGGCGGAGCTTCATGCTCTGACTTTGGGAGCAGATGAAAATGATGGTGCGTGGCAAGTTCCTTCCCCAGAGTTTCTGGGATAGGATGGAGCATGAGTGTACCATTTGCAGTAGGGCAGCTCCACCGTGGACGAGTATATTCGCACTTTCACCCGGATGTGTCTTTTTGCTGGCGAATCGGTGAATACCGATGCCAAGAAGGCCCGCAAGTTTCTTAAGGGGCTCAATCAGAGGATCCGTGAACTGGTGGGAAGTCACGGATTGATGTCTTTGGCCGACACTGTGAGTCGGGCTCAGGAGGTGGAGAGCTGTCTCATTCCGATAGCTCCAGACCCTTCATATATTTATGCCTCCCAGCGTTCTCAGACCGTTGTTCAGTATGCCCAGCCTATTACCTCTGTTCCGCCCAGCTCTAGCTCGGGCAAGAGGAAGTCCGACTTTCAGAACAAAAAGAAGGGAAAGAAGGGGAATTTCGGTCATCGCAATAATCGCCCCACCGGAAACCATACCTGCCCGAGATGCGGCAAGTTCCATGGAGGCGAGTGCCTCACGAACCAGCGCTCATGTTTCAACTGCAACCGTCCAGGGCACTATGCCAATGTTTGCCCCGATCCGAAGAGACAGCAGCAGCAGCAGCCCTTCCCCCAACAGCACCAGCAGTAGCTTCCCCCACCGCCACCCCATCATCAGCAGCAGCAACCCCCAGTATTTCAGCAGAAGGCTGGGGGTCAGGCCATAGTCTACACCGTTGCTCATGACGAGGCGGCCAACAACGCAGGTACCATGTCTGGAATGCTTTCTATATTCAATGTGCCTGTTTTTGCATTATGTGACACTGGAGCCACCCATTCATTTATATCTTCTCGATGCCTGGAGGCTTTAACTCTTAGCGAGGTGTGCAAGGTCGATCCTCTCGAGGTTAGTCTAGCCTCGGGAAAAAATATTATCTCTGATTCCTTGGTTCGTGATTTTCCTATTTCTATCGGTGGGGGCCTTGTTCTCGGTAGTATAGTATACCCAACTTTAGTTGGGGCGAGTTCTAGTTGTTGATGCTTATGTGATCGAAATGCGAGAATTCGATGTGATCTTGGGCATGGACTGGCTCACTCACTACCGAGCCGATATCTGGTGCCAGGAGCGCGAAGTTACCCTCTTTCCCGATCCTGATCAGCCTGTCGTATTCTTTGGTGTGAAGTCGAGGACTGTGCCTCGAGTCATATCTTCTATGCAAGCTAGGAAGATCCTGTTTAAGAGTAGCTGTCAAGGCTATCTTGTTTCTATGGTGTCCGAGGATGATTTCGAGCGGACTCCGGAGAGAGTTTCTATTGTTTGTGAGTATCTCGATGTTTTTCCTGATGAACTACCCGGAGGACCACCCGACCGCCAAGTCAAGTTCACCATTGACCTAGTCCGAGGAGCCAGCCCCGTTTATAAGGCCCCTTACCGTATGGCGCCAAAAGAGCTTCAAGAGCTCAAGGCCCAGATCCAGGAGTTGCTTAAACTCGATTTCATTCGGCCGAGTGTTTCGCCATGGGGAGCGCCCGTTTTATTCGTGAAGAAGAAAGACAGATCCATGCGCATGTGCATTGACTATCGGGAGCTGAATGCCCTTACAGTCAAGAACAAGTATCCCCTTCCCCGCATTGAGGACCTTTTCGACCAGCTGAGGGGAGCCAGCGTCTTTTCAAAGATTGATTTGTGTTCTGGCTATCATCAACTGAAGGTCCGAGAGTCGGATATTTCTAAGACTGCTTTTTGTACCCGCTATGGCCACTATGAGTTTTTGGTAATGCCGTTCGGACTTAGCAATGCCCCAACCATTTTCATGGACCTTATGAATAGGGTCTTTCATCCTTTCCTGTACCAGTTTGTCATCGTGTTCATCGACGACATCTTGGTCTATTCTCGAGATATCGATCAGCACAAGGAGCATCTGCAGATTGTGCTTGAGACTCTTCGCCGCGAGAAATTGTATGCTAAGTTTTCGAAGTGTGAATTCTGGCTGAACCGTGTGTCATTCCTTGGCCACATTGTGACAGCTCGAGGCATTGAGGTGGATCCCAGCAAGATTGAGGCAGTGAGCAAGTGGGATACGCCAAGAAGTGCCGCTGATGTTCATAGTTTTGTGGGGTTAGCAGGATACTACAGGAGGTTTATCGAGGGCTTCTCGAAGATAGCTCAGCCACTAACCAACCTTACAAAGAAGGCCGTGAGGTTTGAATGGAGTTCAAAGTGCGAGGAGAGTTTCCAAGAGTTGAAGAGGAGACTCACTACCGCGCCCGTCTTGGCCATACCCGACCCTACTTTGGAGTTTACTATCTACAGTGATGCTTCGAAGATGGGCTTGGGTTGTGTTCTCATGCAGCAGGGGAGAGTCGTGGCCTATGCTTCGAGGCAGTTGAAGTCTCACAAGCAGAACTACCCCACTCATGACTTAGAGTTAGCCGCAGTGATTCACGCTTTAAAGATCTGGAGGCATTACCTTTACGGAGGGAAGTGTGAGATTTTCACAGACCATAAGAGCCTGAAGTACATCTTCACTCAGAAGGACCTGAATATGCGGCAGTGTAGGTGGTTGGAGTTGGTCAAGGATTACGACTGCACTATTAGCTACCATCCTGGGAAAGCTAATGTGGTAGTCGATGCCCTTAGTCGGAGGAGTTATAGCCAGCTGTCTTGCTTATTTACTGAGCAAGATGTCCTTCTTCGGGAGTTCCAGCGGCTACAGCTAGAGGCAATGGAGTCGACTTCCATGGCCGGTGGTATGTTGAGCACTTTGGTAGTGGGACCAACTCTTCGGGAGAGAATAGTCGCTGAGCAACCGAATGATCATTTTCTCTGTCGAATGAGGGATTTGGCGTCTAGCGGTCAGATAGGTGGTTTCGCAGTCGCAACCGACAGAGCATTACTCTTCGAAGGTAGACTTTGTGTTCCGAAGGTGTCGGAACTGCGGAGGGAGATTTTGAGAGAGGCCCATAGTGCCCCGTACACCATCCATCCTGGTAGCACGAAGATGTATCAGGACTTGAGGAAGTCTTTCTGGTGGCGTGGCATGAAGAGGCAGGTAGCAAAGTTCGTGGATGGGTGTCTGGTGTGTCAGCAAGTGAAGGCTGAGCACCAGAAACCGAGAGGATTGTTACAACCCCTTGAGGTTCCTCTGTGGAAGTGGGAGTGCATCAAAATGGATTTCTTGGTGGGATTGCCGAGGTCGAGGACCGGGCATGACTTTTTTGGGTGATTGTGGATCATACGAAATGTGCCCACTTTCTGCCAGTCCGGACGACTATGAAGGCTAGTGAGTATGCCGAGTTGTTTGTGGCTGAGATCGTTAAGCTTCATGGAGTGCCTGTGGAGATCGTGTCTGATCGAGACGCGAAGTTCACTGGCCAGTTCTGGAAGACTATGCACCAAGCCATGGAGACGAGGTTGGAGTTCAGTACAGCTTTTCATCCTCAGACAGATGGTCAGTCGGAGCGGACAATCCAGTACTTGGAGGATATTTTGAGGGCTGTGGTCATGGATCGGAGCCTAACTTGGGAGTATGCCCTTCCGTTAGTCGAGCTGACCTACAATAATAGCTACCACTCTTCGATCAAGATGGCCCCGTACGAGGCTTTGTACGGACGTAAGGTCCGAACTCCTTTATATTGGGATGAGGTTGGAGAGAGGAGGATTATGGGTCCGGAGTTTGTCCAGAGTACTGCGGCGACAGTTGAGGAGATCCGGAAGACCATCAGGGCTGCCCAGGAGAGGCAGAAGGTTTATGTCGACCGGAAGAGACAAGAGCATGTGTATGCAGTCGGTGATCATGTCTTCCTGAAAGTTTCACCCATGAAGGGTGTGATTCGCTTCGGGAAGAAGGGGAAACTTACACTCGCTATATCGGGCCATTTGAGATCCTTGCTCGAGTCGGGGACTTGGCGTATCGGCTAGCTTTACCACCGGATTTGTCAGGGGTTCACGATGTGTTTCATGTCTCGACGTTGCGGAGATATGTGCATAATCCTGACCATGTGGTGGACTTCGGCGAGCTGCAGGTCGAGCAAGACCTTACTTATGAGGAGGTACCGACAGTCATTTTGGACCGGAAGGTCCATCAGCTGATAAACCGGGCAGTGAGTTTAGTGAAGGTGCGGTGGAGTCGACACGACAAATCCGAGGCGACATGGGAAAAGGAGGACGATATTAGGAGGCGTTATCCGAACTTCATGTTTTGAGTTTCCCTTGGTATATTTTTTTTAGTGCTCTCTAGTTGCTTTGCTTTCGAATTCCGAGGGCGGAATTCCTTTTAAGGTGGATAGATTGTAGCGCCCCGTTCTTATAGAATTTCTCGGATTATTCTATTTATCGAATCTTAATTTTGAGATTATATATTGTATTATTATGTGGATAATATAATTATACAACTCGTTCGATTTTATTGAACCAGTTAATTAATTAATTCCGGTTCGTTTATTTTTTTTTAGAAATGGATTTTATAAGTTGGGATTAATTATTCCAAGTTAATGAATTAATCAAAATCAAGAATATTAGATATAGTCCAAGTCGAGTCGTGTTTATTAACCGCGCCAATAATTTTTTTCGTGTCTAGCGCTATTTCATTTCACGAGCCAATGGCTCAATTTACCGTCATGTTCTATCCGGTCCAATGACATGCGATTTTTCTAGGTGGTTCAAGATTCATTTGAACTTAAGTGAGTCTTGAGATGGTTAAGTAAAGACAACTATATTTGGGTTTAAGTGCATGTGCTATAGGAATATTTTATTAGATGGTGTAAGAGTTTGTATTATCTTAGCTAAAGTGGACCAAGACCATGTTACTTATTCATGTGTTTCTCTCAACAAGAGCCTATGTCCCGCTGCCATTTGAATTATGTCATGCAAATTGTTCAAGTCAACTCAACATCTTGTGCATGAAGAAGGATTTCATGTGATAGGTTAATATTTTATTAATCATGTGTAAGGTGTTTTGTCTTACCTTACTAAGACAAAATCTTGTTTCCCTATTCCATGTGACTTCGGTTACAACTGTTTTTGGTCCAGCTATTACTCCCATATTGTATTGAAATTGATTCCAAGACAACACAACATCACATGTGTATGAAGAAAGTTAATGACACAATAGTTTGTCCATTTCTTGCATTCGTCCAATAGCACTATTAATAAGTCTCAGTGTCAACTGATTTTAGTACTAGACATTCGTAGAAACTTGAGCAATCACTTTGAGAAAGAATAAGAGAATCAAGAAAAAGTTAGCATAAGGAAGGGAGCAAGTTCAATAGGACATCACCGAGCTAGTCCCATCTTAATCTCCCTCTTCCATTAGCTAATGAGTCCCGAAAAACGGTAACCGACCGAACCCTCTTTGTTATATTGTATTCGTATTTGATATCATAGAATTATTCGTGCTTTATATATATTAATTCGATGTTAATATCTAATCGACAATTTATTCGTGAAGTTTGAATATTTTCGATTTAATGGTCATGGGAATATATATATCATGGAATAGGAACTCTCGTAATCATGTCGAGTTATTTCTAAGTCGAGCCTTGGTCATTGGGTTATTGCTGAGGTCATAACCGAGAAAAATCGAGTCTCAAGTCGTGTTCCGAGTCGATTTAAAATAGTTTAAAATGAATTTGAAAACACTAATTTCGAAACATGCGGCTGATTGTTGTTCGAGGCTATTTTTGACCCCTGAATCTGGATCGCATGTGTTTGACGTCTTCTGATAAAATATAGTTCAACTTCTAAGGTTTCATAACGAGCAAGAATCGAGGGATTGTCATTTTTGCACTGAAAATAATAGCCGAAGTACGGCGAGTGTGCGTCCAGTTTTGGTTTCTCTTGCTGCAGCAGGTCTTCTATTTTCGTCACTATTTTGAAGTGACTGGATCATGTTATTTTTCTATTATGTGTTCATGAAATTTGTAGTTCTATGAGTTATATTTCAATAGGAAAAAGAATCACGTATTTATCAATTTTATTTTGAGAGTGACGTCGAAAATACGAAAACCGCACAG